CTTCCTGACACCTTACACTAAAATTAACTCCAGATGGATTAAAGACTTAAACATAAGACCTAACACCATAAAAACCCTAGAAGAAAATCTAGGCAAAACCATTCAGGACATAGGTGTAGGCAAGGACTTCATGACCAAAACACCAAAAGCATTGGCAATGAAAGCCAATAGACAAATGGGACCTAATCAAACTCCACAGCTTCTGCACGGCAAAAGAAACAGTCATTAGAGTGAATAGGCAACCAACAGAACAGATTGAAATAATTAAAAAGAATCGAGCAGAAATTCTTAAATTGACAAATGCAATTGACGTACTGAAGAATTTATCAGAATCTCTTAATAGCAGAATTGATCAAGCAGAAGAAAGAATTAGTGAGCTTGAAGACAGGCTATTTGAAAATACACAGTCAGGGGAGACAAAAGAAAAAAGAATAAAAAAGAAGGAAGCACATTTAAAAGATCTAGAAAATATCCTCAAAGGAGCAAACCTAAGAGTTGTTGGCCTTAAAGAGGAGGTAGAGAAAGAGATAGGGGTAGAACATTTATTCAGAGGAATAACAGAAAACTTCCTAAACCTAGAGAAAGTTATCAATATTAAAATTCAAGATACTTACAGAACACTAAGTAGATTTAACCCAAAGAGAAATACCTCAAGACAAACAAAAGTCAGGGGATTTCATTAACATCAGACCTGTCCTACAAGAAATGCTAAAGGGAGTTCTTCAATCTGAAAGAAAAGGATGTTAATTAGCAAGAAGAAATCATCTGAAGATACAAAACTCACTGGCAATAGTAAGCACACAGAAAAACACAGACTATTATAACAATGTAATTCCAGTGTGTAAACTACTCTTAAGTTAAAAGTCTAAATGATGAACCAATCAAATATAGTAACAAAATCAACTTTTCAAGACACAGACAGTACAATAAAACATACGGAGAAACAACAAAAAATTAAAAAGCAAGGGGAAGAAGTTAAAGTGTAGAATTTTTATTAGTTTTTTTTTTTTGCATGTTTGTTTGTTTATAAAATCAATGTTAAGTTGTCATTAGTTTAAAATAATTTTGGGTTTAAGATAGTATTTACAAGCCTAACAGTAACTTTAAATTGAAAAATATGAAACAGATAAACAAAAATAAAAAACAAGAAATTAAATGATACTACCAGAGGAAATAATCTTCACTAGGAAGAAGACAAGAAGAAAGAAAAGAAAGAAGACCAGAAAACAAATAACAAAATGGCAGGAGTAAGTCCCTACTTATCAACAAACAATAACACTGAATGTAAATAGACTAAACTCTCCAACCAAAACACATAGAATGGCTGAATGGAAAAAAAAAAAAAAAAAAAAAAAAAAAAGCAAGACCCAGTAATCTGTTGCCTATGAGAAACATACTTCACCTATAAAGACATACATAAGATGGAAAATAAAAGGGATAAAAAAAAAGATATTCCATGTCAATGGAAACTATGAAAAAGCAAGAGTAGCTATACTTATATCAGACAAAACATCTTTTAACTGGTTGTGCCAGTGTTGGGTGCATACGTATATTTATAATCATTATGTTCCTTTGCTATAAAGGATTGACCCCTTTATCATCATATAATGACCTTCTTTGTCTCTCCTTATAGAAACTCTTCTTTAAAATAACCTTTTTGTCTCGTCTTACAGTTCTTGTAAGACGAGACAAAGAGGGTCATTATATAATGTTAAAGGGGTCAATACTTTATCATTATAGCAAAAGAATAAAATGATTATAAATATATATATGCACCCAACACTGGCACAACCAGATATATAAAGCAAGTGTTATTAGAACTAAAAAGAGTGATAGGCCTCAATACCATAATACCTGGAGAATTCAACTCCTTACTTTTAACACAGGAATAATCTACTAGACAGAAACTCATCAAAGAAATGTGAGACTTCAACTGAACTATAAAACAATTGGACCTAATAGATAGTTACAGAACATTTCATCCAAAGGCTTTAGAATACACGTTTTTTTTCCTCATTACATGAATCATTATCAAGGACAGACCATATGTTAGGTGCAAAACAAGTCCCAAAACATTCAAAAAATTGAAATAACATCAAGCATATTTTCTGACCACAATGAAATAAAACTAGAAATCAACAAGAGGAATTTTGGAAACTATACAAACATGGGGAAATTAAACAATGTACTCCTGAATGGCCAGTGGGTCAATGAAGAAATTAAGAAGAAAATAGAAAATTTTCTTGAAGCAAATGAGGATGGAAACAACATATCAAAACCTTTAGATACACTAAAAGCAGTACTAATGGGGAGAGTTATAGCTAAAAGTGCCTACATCAAAAAAGAGAAAAACTCCAAATAAATAGCCCAATGATGGATTTTTAAAAACCAGAAAACCAATAGTAAACTGAGCAAAACTGAGAGCAAACCAAGAGCAAAATTTAGTAGAAGAAAACAAATAATAAAGATCAGAGCATAAATAAATAAATTTGAAATGAAGAAAACATCACAAAAGATCAATGAAACAAAAAGTTGGTTTTTAAAAGGATAAACAAAATTGGCAAACCTTTAGCCAGACTAATGGGGGAAAAAAGGCAACAAATAAAATCAAAGATGAAAAAGGAGATATTACAATCATTACAACTGATACTACAGAAATTCAAAGGATCGTTAGTGGCTACTATAATCAGCTATATGCCAATAAATTAGAAAATCTAGAGGAAATAGATAAATTCTTAGAAGCCATACAACTTATCAAGATTGAACCATGAAGAAATTCGAAACCTCAGCAGACCAATAATAAGTTAACAAGATCAAAGGTATAATAAAAAGTATCCCAGCAAAGAAAAGTCTGGGACTCTATGACTTCATTTCTGAATTCTACCAAACATTTAAAGAGTGAATACCAATGCTACTCAAACTATTCTAAATATAGAGGAGGAGGGAATACTTACAAACTCATATCTGAGTCCAGTATTACTCTGATACCAAAGCCAAAGACACATCCAAAAAAGAAAATTACAGGCCAATATCTCTGATGAATATTGATGCCAAAATCTACAACAAAATACCAACAAACCAAATTCCACAATACATTACAAAGGTCATTTATCATAACCAAGTGGGATTTATCCCAGGAATGCAAGGATGATTCAACATATGCAAATCCATCAATGTGATACATCATAAAAACAGAATGAATAAAAAAAAACCCTACGATCATTTCAATTGATGCTGAAAAAGCAGTTTATAAAATTCAATGTCCCTTCATGGTAAAAAAAAAAAAAACCTCAAAAAACTAGGAATAGAAGGAGAATGCCTCAAAAAAACAAAAGCCACATATGACAGACCCACAGCTAGTATTATAGAATGGGGAAAAACTGAAAGTCTTTTCTCAAATTTCTGGAATAAGACAAGAGTGCCCACTTTTCAGCACTATTATTAAACATGGTAGTGGAAGTCTTAGCTAGAGCAATTAGACAATAGAAAGAAATAAAAGGCATCCAAATTGGAATGGCAGAAGTCAAATTATCCTTGTCTGCAGATGATATGATTTTATATTTTTAAAAACCTAAAGACTCTGCCAAAAACTGTTAGAACTGATAAACAAATTCAGCAAAGTTGCAGGATATAAAATCAACACACAAAAATCAGTAGCATTTCTATATGGCAACAGTGAAGAATCTGAAAAATAAATTTAAAAAGTAATCCCATTTATAAATAAATAAAATACCTAGAAATTAACTAAAGAAGTAAAAGATTTCTATAATGAAAACTGTAAAACACGGATGAAAAAAATTGAAGAGGGCACATACACAAAAAAATAGAGATATTCAATGTTCATAAATTGGAAGAGTCAATATTGTTAAAATGTCTGTGTTACCAAAGCAATCTACAGATTCAATGCAATCTCTACCACAATACCAATGACATTCTCCACAGAATTAGAAAAAAAAATCATAAAATTTATATGGAGCCGCAAAAGACCCAGAATAGCCAAAGCTATCTGGAGCAAAAAGAACAAAACTGGAAGAATCACATTACCAGGCTTCAAATCATACTACAGAGCTATAGTAACCAAAATAGCATGGTGCTTGCATGAAAAACAGAAACATGACCAATGGAATAGAATAGAGAACACAGAAACAAATCCACACACCTACAGTGAACTCATTTTCAACAATGGTGCCAAGAACATACACTAGAAAAAAGACAGCCTCTTTATTAAATGATGCTGGGAAGACTGGAAGTCCATATGCAAAAGAATGAAACTAGACGCCTGGCCTGGTGTGGTGGCTCACACATATAATTCCAGCACTTTGGGAGGCTGAGGTGGGCGGATCATCTGAGATCAGGAGTTCGAGACCAGCCAGGTCAACACAGTGAAACCCCATCTCCACTAAAAATACAAAAATTAGCTGGGCATGGTGGTGGGTGCCTGTAATCCCAGCTACTCAGGAGGCTGAGGCAGGAGAATTGCTTGAACCTGGGAGGCAGAGGTTGCAGTGAGCCGAGATTATGCCACTGCACTCCAGCCTGGGCAAAAAGAGCAAAACTCCCTCTCACAAAAACAAAACAAAACACTAGACCCTTGCCATATACAAAGATCTCTTGCCATATACAAGGGTGAAATAAAAATGAATTAAAGGCTTAAATATAAGACCTCAAACTATAAAGCTACTACACAAAAACATAGGGGAAGCTCTGCAGGGCACTGGTCTGAGCAAAAGTTTCTTGAGTAATAATACCCACAAGCACAAGCAACCAAAACAAAAGTGGACAAATGGGATCACAAGTTAAAAAGCTTCTGCACAACAAAGAAAACAGTTTACAAAGTGAAGAGGCAATGGGAGAAAATATTTTCCAACTACATATCTGACAAGGAATTAAAAACCAAAATATATAAGGAGCGCAGACAACTCTAAAGGAAAAAATCAAATAATCAAACTTAAAAAATGGGCATAAGATTTGAATAGACACTTTTCAAAAGAGTGCATACAAATGGGAAACAGGAATGTGAAAAGGTGTTTAACATCCCTGATCATCAGAGAAATGCAAATCAAACTGCAATGAGATATTATCCCATCCCAGTTATAATGACTTTTATTCAAAAGACAAGCAATAATAAATATTGGTGAGGATATGGAGAAAAGGGAACCCTTGTACACTGTTGGTGGGAATGTAAATTAGTACCAATACCATGAATAGTTTGGAGGTTCCACAAAAAACGAAAAATTGAGCTACCACACGATCCAGTAATACCACTGCTGGGTATACCCTGAAAAAAGGGAAATCAGATATCAAAGAAATACTGCACTCACATGTTTGTTGCAGCACTGTTCACAATTGCCAAGATTTAGAAGCAATCTAAGTGTCCATCAACAGATACATGGAAAAAGAAATTGTGGCACTTATACACAATGGAGTACTACTCAGCTATAAGAAAGGATCAGATCCTGTCATTTGGAACAACATGAATGAAACTGGAAGTCATTATGTAAAGTGAAACAAGCCAGGAAGGCACAGAAAGACAAGCATTGCATGTTATCACTTATTTATGGGCTGTAAAAATCAGAACAATTGAACACATGGAGATAGAGAGTAAAAGGATGATTACTAGAGGCTGGGAAGAGTAGTGAAGAAGGGGAAGGTGGTTATGTTTAATGGATTAAAAAATAGAAAGAATAAATAATATCTAGTATTTAATAGTGCAACAAGGTGACTACAGTCAAATAATTTAATTATAAATTTAAGAACAACTAAAAGAGTATAATTAGATTGTTTGTAAAACAAAGGACAAATGCTTGGGGGGGATGGATACCCCATTTTTCATGATGTGATGATTATTCATTGCATGCCTGTATCAAAATATCTCATGTACTCCATAAATATACACACCAACTATGAACCCACAAAAATTAATCATTAACAATTGAAAATAAATAAATAAAATTAGCTAAAAAGAGAATTAGTAACTGAAAGGTAGCTCTGATGAAATGACATTTCTAAAAATAAAACTACATTATGATCCAGTAATCCCACTACTGGGGATATATATGAAGTAAAGGAAATCAGTATATTGAAGAGATATTTGCACTCCCATGTTCATTGCAGCATTACTCACAATAACCAAGATATGGAATCAACCTAAATTTTCATCAACAGATGAATGGAGAAACAAAATGTGGTATGTATATGGGATGAAATACTATTCAGCTTCCAACGAGCAGGAAATCCTGTCATATATGACAACATAGATGAACCAGGAGGACATTACGTAAATGAAACAAGCTAGGTTCAGAAAGACAAATACTGCATCTCACTTATATGTCAAATCTAAAAAAGATGAACTCATGGAAGCAGAGAGTAGAATGGTGGTTACCTGAGGATGGAGTGAGGTAGACTGTAAAAATGTTAGTCAAAGGATACAAAATTTCAGTTAGGAGGGATTAAAAAAAAAAGATATGACAATTATAATGGCCAGCTAATATAACCTGTGAACATAGGTATTGAGATTCTAAAATATTAGCAAGGTATAGAAAGAACAATCTCTGGAGTCTAATTGATTTATCCCTGGAGTACAAGGTTAACATAAAAATCAACAAAATTGGCCACATTAAGATAGTAAATGGGAAACATCATGTGAGTATTTTAATTATTTTGAAAACAAGTTGAAAAAAATTTACCATTCACTCATGAAGTATGAAGAAAGATGATTACATAGGTATATAATTTTTAAATCTATGCATAAATGATTATAATTACTAAAATTTTAGGAAACTTCTGTTTATAAAATGGATATATAAAACCAACTGTATTATTATATATCATAAATGTGTTAAAACAATTGTGAATTTGGCCAAGCACTGTGACTCATGCCTGTAATCCCAGCACTTTGGGAGGCCAAGGCAGGCAGAACACTTGAGGTAAGGAGTTCAAGACCTGTTGAGTCTGGCCCGGAGACTCTGGCCAAACAATGGATGAAAGTCATACAGAAATACATGTATTTTGCCTGATTGTGCAGCTAGAGGACTTGTGGCTTAGTGACCCCAAGGGGTGTGCTGTAGCCCCGATAAGCCGGTGACCGTCGTATTTAATTAGTACAGGTTTAATGACAAAGATCCTGAGTAAACACCATTTGTAGGTGATTAACATTGCTGACCCCCTAGTAGAGAGCAGTCATGTGCACAGCTGGGCAAAGGTTGGTTTTAGGACAACATGAGTAAACAAGTTATTTAGATAAACTCCTCTACATTGTTGCATAAATAACATTTTAAAATCTGTCATTTGAACTAACTTTTGGATAACTTCAAATTAGACAAAATTATTCTTTTTCTCACTAATAACATACACAAAAAGTTTACCCAAAACATTTATCCTATTCGTTGTACAAAATTCTTTTACTTTTAACAAAGGGTGACACGAGACATCAGTTAACATATGTAAAATGAGCATTGATTTGGTCTGGAAAGGCAGGACAACTTGAAGCAGGGAGGAGGATTGGAGGCTTCCAGGTCTTTTGAGTTTCTGATTAGCCTTTCTAAAGGAGGCAATCAGATATGCATTTATCTCAGTGACTTTGAATAGAATGGGAGGCAGATTTGTCCTTACATTCCTAGGTTGAATTTTCCCCTCAGGGCAATGATTTTGGGGGGCCCAATGTATTTTCCTTTCATAAAATACTTTCATTCATCAAAAGAAAGCACAAAATCAAGATCATTTTGTTTTGGCTTGGTTTATAGTTTTATAACCTTCTATGCCAAACACTGACATCTCAAAATATCTAGCAAAGACAAACAGAAAATCCAGACAAAATGTATGCTAACAATGCTGATGGCATTTCTATTTTTATTCTACCAATAATTTTAAAGCCAACTTGTTTAGTAAAGTTATAGTTTAGTTGTGTGAACTTGAAAATTGCTTAGAATTATTTAACTTAATTTGCGAGTGCTCTTTTACTTATAAGCCAATTTGGCAGACACAACATATAACAATAGGTATGCATACACATAAACAGATCTGGATATGTATACACATACATAAATGAAGATCCACTAGCTTGGAACCTTAGCCTTGAGATACTAATAAAAGCTTGCTGGTTTTACTTTGTTTTTCCAAATAGATAATCCAATGAAGAATGTGAACCAAAATTTTAGGTACAGGACTTTCCATGGCACTTTTCTATTTTAGAGGCCAAACAGCACCAAAAAAGAGTGTCACACGTTAACCACACCCCCTGCTTAGAACAGCAGCACAAAAGCCTGAATACATGCAATGCCATCTCACTTTCCCATTCAACAGTAAACAATATTGGAACCAGACAGTACTGCAACTCTGAGAGAAAATCCTAAGGAGGGCTTAGTATTAGATCTCAGAACCTCTTCCAATAGTGTCCCCTTTGGAGAGGTTGAGGTCTGCAGGATTCCCTATCAGGATATCCCCCAGTGGGTCCAATCTTAGAGTGTCAGATGTCTCTGACCTTAGGTGGGCTGCCACTTGCATGTTTTCCCTCCAGAGCCTACTATGAGCTTCCCTTTTGTCCTTAGACAGTAGAGTAGGGGAAGGAAAGAATTTGGAATAAGAAAAGAATGTTTAAGTTGGCTGAAGCATGTATGAGTTTGCTCCAACCCATGCCACATGTAGGGATCAGGGAACACAACTGGAAAAGATTAAGAGTCCTTCCCCCTTTGGGGCAGGGCAATTATAAACAGCCACTGGAAGACTGAAAAAGAAAGAAATAAAAAGGTAAAAGAAAAAGAACCAGATTCCTTAAGTAAACTGGGAAATGGCAGTTAGGCTCCTCTACATGGAAACCCCTTAGTTGCACCAGCCACAGCCAGAAATCTGCAGCTGCTTCCATGTTTAGGCATTGCCTACTAAGGGTCCTGAGTTGGAAAGCAAAAGAGAGAGAGAAAGCTTTCCCTGTTTGTAAAAGGGGAAAGGAGAAAAATAAATCCCCAAATTTGGGCCTATCTTTTCCTGGCTGGCTCACCAAAATATGTTACCAGCGGAGTTCAGGGCAAGATAGCTGAATAGGAACAGCTCTGGTCTACAGCGCCCAGTGAGATTGATGCAGAAGGTAGGGGATTTCTGCATTTCCAACTGAGGTACCCAGTTCATCTCACTGGGAGTGGATGGAGAGTGGGTGCAGCCTACAGAGAGTGAGTCAAAGCAGGGTGGGGCATCACCTCACCCAGGAAGTGCAAGGGGTCAGAGGATTTTCCTCTCCTAGCCAAGGGAAGTCATGAGAAACTGTCTCAGGAGTAATAGGGGACTCTGGCCCAGATAGTGCACTTTTCCCATGGTCTTTACAACTAGCAGACTGGGACATTCCCTCTCAGTGCCTATGCCTCCAGGGCCCTGGTTTTCAAGCACAAAACTGGGTGGCTGTTTGAGCAGACACTGAGCTAGCTTCAGGAGTTTCTTTTTTTTTTCATACCCCCATGGCACCTGGAACTCCAGTGAGACAGAACCATTCATTCCCCTGGAAAGGAGGCTGAAGCCAGGGAGCCAAGTGATCTGGCTCAGAGGGTCCCAATCCCACAGAGCCAAGCAAGTTAAGATCCACTGGCTTAGAATTTTCGCACCAGCACAGCAGTATGAGTTTGACCTGTGATGCTCAAGCTTGGTGAGGGGAAGGGTGTCCACCATTGCTGAGGCTTGAATAGGCAATTTTACCCTCACAGTGTAAACAAAGCTGCCTGGAAGTTCAAACTGGGCAGAGCCCACCACAGTGCAGCAAGGCCACTGAGGCCAGACTGTCTCTCTAGATTGCTCCTCTCTGGGCAGGGCTTCTTTGAGAAAAAAGGCAGCAGCCCCAGTGAGGGACTTATAGATAAAACCCCCATTTCCCTGGGACAGAGCACCTGGGGACAGGAATGGCTGTGGGCACAGCTTCAAGAGACTTAAACGTCCCTGCTTGACAGCTCTGAAGAGAGCTGCAGATCTTTCAGCACAGCATTCGAGCTCTGATAAGGGACAGACAGCCTCCTCAAGTGGGTCCCTGACCCCTGTGTATCCTGACTGGGAGATATCTCCAAGTAGCAGCCAACAGACACCTCATACAGGAGAGCTTTGGTTGACACCTGGTGGGTGCCTCTCTGGAACAAATCTTCTGAAGGAAGAAACAGGCAGCAATCTTTGCTGTTCTGCAGCCTCTGCTGGTGATACCCAGGCAAAGAGGGTCTAGAGTGAACCTCCAGCAAACTCCAGCAAAACTGTAGCAGAGAGGTCTGACTCTTAGAAGGAAAACCAACAAACAGAAAGGAATA